GTGGTAAGGGTTGTGGTTATGAATTGGATTTCTTTTATATAGGATTTTGGTAGTTGTAGCTTTCAAGGAATTTTTCCATCCCATCCAGGTTGTTGAATTAATTGGCATAAGATCATTCATAATGTAATATCTTATTCATTTAGAATCTACAGAGTTTATATAGGATAAGAATCTGTAGGGTTTTCTCTATCTGTGATTTTGGTCATTTGCGTCTTCCTCTTTAAAATTTTTTTAATATAGCTACAAGTTTATCTTTAAAAAAAAGAACAGTTTTTGGGTTCCTTGATTTTTCTTTTTTATTACTCTATTAAATAGAGTATTAAATTACATTAAATTTAGTTTGTTTCATTGATTTCTGCTCTTTATTTCCTTCTTTCTACTTATTTTGAGTTTAATTTTCTCTTTTTTTCCTAGCTTCCTAAGGTGGAAGCTTAGACCATTGATTTTGGATTTTTTCCACCCTAATATAAACATTTAAATCTATAAATTTTCCACTAAGCACTACTTTACCTACATCCCTCAGATTTTTAAATTTTCATTCACTTCAAAATATTTTTAAGTTTTCTCTGTGATTTCTTTTTTAGCCCTTGGGTTATGTAGAAGTGTTGTTTAATTTCCAGGTATTTGTATGTTTTCTAGATTTTTATCTACTATTGATTTCTAGTTTAATTTCATTGTGGTCAAAGAATATCTTTTATATTATTTCAGTAGTTTTAAAAATGTTGAGACTAGTTTTATGGCCCAACATATAGTCTATTTTAGTGAATGTTCCCTGTACATATGAAAACAAAATGCATTCTGCTGTTGTCAAGTGTGGTGTTTTAGGTCAGGTTGTTTGATAGTGTTATTCAAGTCTTATTTATCCTTACTCATTTTTTGTCTATTTGGTCTATTTGTCCACCTGTTACTGAGGGAGGACCCTTGAAGTCTCCAGCTATAATTGTGGATTTGTCTGTTTCTTCTTTCAGTTCTGTCAGTTTTTGCTGCATTTATTTTGAAGCTCTCTTATTGAGTGTGTGCACATTTAGGATTGTTCTCTCTTCTTGATGAATCGACAGCTTTGTCATCATGAAATATCCCTTTGTCTTGAAGCCTGTTCTGCCTTTTATTTATGTATTTATTTATTTATTTGAGGAAGATTGGCCCTGAGCTAGCATCTATTGCCAATCTTCCTCCTTTTTTCCCTTTTTCTCCCCAAAACCCCAGTAGATAGTTGTATGTCATAGTTGCACATTCTTCTAGTTGCTGTATGTGGGACGCCGCCTCAGCATGGCTTGGCGAGTGGTGAGTAGGTCTATGCTCTGGATCTGAATCGGCAAACCCTGGGCCGCCGATGTGGAGCACGTGAACTCTGCCACTACACCACCAGGCCGGCCCCTGCCTTTTATTAATATAGCCTCTCCAGTTTGGTATATTTTCACATTCTTTTATTTTTAAATCATCCTGTAAACTGGGTTTAAAGTGGGTTTCTTGTAAGCAGCGTATAATTTGGTCTTGCTTTTTTATTTAGTTTGACAGTCTCTGCCTTTTACTTGGAATTTTAAATCATTTACACTTAATGTAATTATTTATATGGTTGGATTTAAATCTACTACCTTGCTATTTGTTTTCTACTTGTCACATTTGTTCCTTCTTCCTTTCTTTCTCTTTTCCTGTTTCTTTTTGTATTGATTCAGTTTACTTTAGGATTCCATTTTATTTCCTCTTTTGGCTTTTTAACTTTAACTCTTTGTTATTTTAGTTATTACTCTAGGGTTTATGATATGTTGCCACAATTTACCTTCAAATGATGTTATACTACCTCACATATAATGTTAGAATCTTTCAAAAATATACTTCCATTTCCCGTCTCCTGTCCTTTGTTTGTTTTGTCATAGTTTTTACTTCTACATATATTATAAGCACAGTACATTTTTGTTATTTTTGCTTTAAATGATCAGCTATCTTTTAAAGATAATATGAGAAGTTTTTTATGTTTTCATATAATTTTTATTTCTATTGTCCTCCATTTCTTTTGTAGATTCAGATTTCCATCTGGTATCTTTTTCCTTCTGTTTGAAGAACTTCTTTAACATTTCTTATAGTGAATATCTGTTGGCAACAAATTCTCTCAGATTTTGTTTTCCTAGAAAACATCTTTATTTCACATTTATTTTTGAAAGGTTTTTTTTCCCATGGCTTATAGAATTCTAGGTTGACAGTTTCTTTTAGCACTTTAGAGACCTCTTTTAGTTGTTCCCTGGCTTGCATAGTTTCTGATGAGAAGTCTGGGGAAAATTCTTATCTTTGTTCCTCTACATATAATTTGTTTTCTCTGGCTGCTTTTAAGATTTTTCTCTTAATCACCAATTTTCAGCTATTTGATTTGACTTGTCTAGGCATGGTTTTCTTTGTGTTTATTCTGCTTGTGGGTCATTGAATTTCTTGGTGCTTTGTGTAGTTTTCATCGAATTTGGAAAAATTTTGGCCATTATTTTTTCAAATATTATTTCTCCCTTTCCCCCTCATTTTTGAGATCTAGTTTTATATGTTAGACTGTGATATTGTTCCACAGGTCACTGAGACTTTGTTCCTTTGTTTTTTCAGCCATTTACTCTATTTTTGGGTTTCATGAATCTTTTTTCCTATGCTGTCTAATGTGTTAATTACATCCTCTGAATTTTTTATTTGTGACATTTTATTTTTCATTTCTAGAATTTTCCTTTGGGGTGTGTGTGTGTGTGTGTGTGTGTACGTGTACGTGTGTGTATATGAGGAAGATTAGTCCTGAGCTAACATCAATTGCCAATCTTCCTCTTTTTTCTGAGGAAGATTGGCTCTGGGCTAACATCCGTGCCCATCTCCCTCTACTTTATATGGGATGCTGCCGCAGCATGGCTTGACAAGTGGTGTATTGGTCAGTGCCCGGGATCTTAACCTGTGAACCCTGAGCTGCCGAAGCGAACCTGTGAACTTAACTGCTATGCCACTGGGCCAGCTCCCCTTTTGTGTTTTTTTTTATGTTCCATTTCCTTTCATTATGTTCATGCTTTTCTTTAGATACTTGGACATATGATAGCTTTTTTTTTTTTGTGGAAGATCGGCCCTGAGCTAATATCTGCCAATCCTCCTCTTTTTTTTTTTTTGCTGAGGAAGACTGGCCCTGGGCTAACATCCATGCCCATCTTCCTCTACTTTATATGGGATGCTGCCACAGCATGGCTTGGCAAGTGGTGCATCGTTGCATGCCTGGGATCCGAACTGGCGAACCCAGGGCTGCCGCAGCGGAGCACACGTACTTAACCGCTTGCGCCACCAGGCCGGCCCCTATGATAGCTTTATAATGTCTTTTTTTTTTTTTTTTTGAGGAAGATCAGCCCTGAGCTAACATCCATGCCAATCCTCCTTCTTTTGCTGAGGAAGACTGGCCCTGAGCTAACATCCATGCCGATCTTCCTCCACTTTGTATGGGACGCTGCCACAGCATGGCTTGACAAGCAGTGCATCGGTGCGCACCCGGGATCCAAACCCAGGCCGCCAGCAGCGGGGCACATGCACTTAACCACTATGCCGGCCCCCTTTTTAATGTCTTTGTTGCTAATTCTATAATCTGTCATTTTAGAATCTGTTTTTATTGACTGATTTTGGTCTTGATTATGATCACATATTCTTGGCATGTCTAATAATTATTATTATATTAATTATTAATTGTGAATGTTATATTGTTTCTGAAATTTTTTTTGTCTTCCTTTCGTGAGTATTGACTTTCATTCTGGTAGGCAGTTAAGTAATTTATGGTTAGTTTGATCATTTGAGGCTTGCTTTTAGTTTGTTAGGGCAGGTTTAGAGTAGCTTTTACTCTAAGAACCTTTATCCTACTACTAAGGCGTGGTCCTGAGGTTTCTACTGAATGCCTTTAGTGATCAGTGAGAACTCTGCACTCTAGTTGGTAAGAAATTAAATGATTTGCAGTCCTTTGTGAATTCTAGAACTGTTCGGCTCACGACTCTCTAGTTGGTCCTTGCATGACCTGGTGGAGTTTCACACTATGTATGTGAATCTTAGTAGTCAACAAAGCATCAAGGGGACCCCTATGCTTATTTTTGGAGCTGTTTTTCAGCATAGTTCCCTTCTCTTTTTTCCTTTAAAATTTTTTTTTTTTCCTTTTTTCCCCTTCGCTTTGAAATTCTATCCCAAACTCCCAGCCACCTCAACATCATTGAATTCCAATTTGTCTCCTCAACTTCTTAACTGAGCTAGACTGCTGCTTGGAATTCTGCTCTCTGCTCTGTGGTTTGTGGTGTGCCTCTAGCCAGAAAGCTGGGACAATCCTAGGGTTCACCTTGTTTGTTTGCTTTTTCACTGGATCACATGCCTCTTCAATGTTTGAAAGCATTTATTTTGTCCAGTCTCTAGTTGTTCAAGGTGAGAGGGTAAATTCAGTCTTTGTTCCACCATCATGGCCAGAAGTATCGGAATTTTAAAAATATTTTATGACCTATTGCTTGCTTGTGCTTGTTTTATTGTCCTTTTGCTATCAATGCTTTTGTTTTAGAAAATATTCTCAAATGATTTTATACTTCAACAGTAATTATTTTAATAGTGAACAAAACTTTTATAAAATACAAGTTTATTGCTTAGTATAGTATTATTCTTTCAGGATTTATATGGTTGTTTTTAGTGTGAAGAAAGATTCAGATCTCTATAACACTTTAAGTCTTGAGGGGTCCATGTTACATAGTTGAGCAACATTCATGCCAGTGTCAAGTGTGAATATGTCTTTTCTCTTCCTGGTCTTTAACAATTGACATTGAAAGGAACAGTTTGGTTCTTAGACTTAAATTTGAACTCATGTATATTGGGTTCTCTGAAGACAAATGAACATGTAGCTTTTATCTCTATAGGATTGTTTTGGTAATTGTTTGGGGATATATTAAGCTTGTCAGACTAAATAACGAATGTTAAGTGCTTAAACAAGTAAACACAAATGATCAGTGCTCCTCTATCCCGTGTATTTCTAGGTAACTATAACTACCCAATATTGCAGCCATGGAGTCCATGCTTAATAAGTTGAAGAGTACTGTTACAAAAGTGACAGCTGACGTCACTAGTGCTGTAATGGGAAATCCTGTCACTAGAGAATTTGATGTTGGTCGACACATTGCCAGTGGTGGCAATGGGCTAGCTTGGAAGATTTTTAATGGCACAAAAAAGTCAACAAAACAGGTAAGTTTTAATTCAGAGTCCAGTTGGAAAAAACACATATGTTAATAAGTACCATAACATGCACATGTGCATTTTTATGTCAAGAAATGCCAAAAGTAGTGGGTTCTTTAGTTCTTATTTCATCCACTGAAGTCATACTAAAACGAATGCTTTTAAACATGTCATGAATCTCCTGGTTACAAATATATTGTTTGATATAACATCTCACCTTATGATTTAATTTTGCTTAATTAGTAAAATAAACTTATCAGTTGAGTAAATGAGTATATTAGATTTTAATATTTAGCAAAGCGTATGTTTTAGAATAAAAATTGTTGGGACAGCCTCAGTGGCCTAGTGATTAAGTTTGGTGTGCTCTACTTTGGCGGCCTGGGTTCGGTTCCTGCGCGAGGACCTACACCACTCATCTGTCAGTGTCCCTGCTGTGGCGGCGGCTCACGTACAAAAAGAAGAGGATTGGCAGTGGATGTTAGCTCAGGGCAAATCTTCCTCAGCAAAAAAAAAGAAGAATAAAAATTGTCATGTTCCTTTTCATATTTGTCAATAAGTTATTGGCAAGATACCCAGTTAAATTTTTCCAACATTAAATGCATTCTTACTTAGTGCAGTCTTATTCCCTCTTTTATTCTATAGCCTTCTAGAAAATAGACTTTTATAGTATTCTTTTGTGTTTAACCTGATAGTTTTTACTATCGGAAGGGGATACATTTGTGGGACAGAATCAGTAATACGTTTTGGGTTTTACTGATTTCAAAGTTAATTTTTTTTTTTTTTATAATTTTTATTTATTTATTTTTCCCCCAGAGCCCCAGTATATAGTTGTATGTCATAGCTGCATGTCCTTCTAGTTGCTGTATGTGGGACATGGCCTCAGCATGGCCAGAGAAGCGGCGCGTCAGTGCGCGTCCGGGATCCGAACCCCGGGCCGCCAGCAGCGGAGCGTACACACTTAACCACTAAGCCACGGGGCCAGCCCTCAAAGTTAATTTTAAGACTAACTGTTCTTCTAGTGAAAAGTAATTTGAATGAGTTATTTATTTATTTATTTTTGATTTGACGTAAGGGACCAACAGATGGTTCTTCGAAATGTGATGGATCGTTAGTATTAGATTTTACTATTAACTTTCTGTTGGAATTGTTGAAGAATTGAAAAATCTCCAGATTTAAAACCTCTATAGAAATATGTTCTTTAAAAAGAAAAATCATTGTTTCCAAAAGTGCTTTTACTTCCCTGCAAGTGAAACGTATGGATTGTAAGACATATGGAACTTAATACACGTTTTCTAATGACTAGCACAATCATGCAGTTGTGGGTATGCATTGTTTGTGGCTTTCTCAAAATCAGTTTATTTCCCAAACAGGTATTTTAAAGACTGAATTGTCTTTGGTTATCCTTTTATGAAGTAGGAATCTTGGTCCTTTGATAGATTGCTTCTATGTGGTTTGTACCTGACCTGTAAATCTTGTTTTTATTGCCATCTGGTTGGAAGTCTTTAAATCCAGAGTTGATCTGTATCTTAAATGCTAATTGATTTGTCATTTTTGAACATTGTTTTCTCTTTCAATTCACCAAGAGCTCATCCAAAAAGTAAGTGGTTTCTTGAATATTGACTACTTAAAAAGCTATTAATGAGGTCCTGAAGTTATGTAAATGACTAACCTCCAACACTAGTGCAGATTGCTTTTGCAATCAATTATATAAGGGGAAAATGAAAGAACACTAAATTTTGCATTAGTTATTAAGGATGTGGTAACACAATAGTGTCTTTGTGCTTAGCCAAAAGAGTTCTAGGTGTTTGTGTTTATATCAGTAGTTCATATGCTGAAATCCTCTGATAAGGCTGGAGCTTCTGTTGCTGCTCATAGAACATGAGAACCGGACGCAAATAATAGATAATTGATTAGATATTGCACAAATAATACAGCAGTTCTCAACTGCTGACTGCCAGAACTGGGTTCTCTTAGGAAACTTTACTATATTCTTTTTTTTTTTTCTTCAAATTTATTGCTTTGAGGAAAAAGATAGTTTTGAAATGTATCAGTGCTCTCTGTGGATATGGTTTTGAATTTTCTTCCTTTGCCTCTTTCAAACCTCAAGGGTCAGAACTGAGTGTCCTGATACTCAGTTCCTGAGCCAGTCTGGATACTGGCTAATTCCTTAAGGAATAGCTGAGTCTCTAACCACCTTGGCATTGAAGGTCTTATTTTAATTTCTGCCTTAATTGAAAAAGTTTTAATTATTTTTCAGTTGCCTCATTTTTATTAAAAGGGATTTATAGAAAATAGATAATCTAGAATTGTGTTTCCAGTATGGTAGCTACAGGCTACATATGGCTATTTCAATTAATTAAAATTAAATAAAATTAAATTCAGTTCCTTAGTTGTATTAGTCACATGTGGCTAGTATTACCATATAGGACAATGCAGATATAGAACTGTCTATCATCACAGAAAGTTCTTTTGGACAGCATTGATCTTAGAGGAACAGAGAGAAAAATAATGGAAAAGGATAATCTTCTTAGTCTTTTTTTCCCCCAAAAAGGGACATTGAGACTGAGGGCATCTTTCTTACCCTCTCAGCCTTTCTTGATCTAGCATACAGTGTACCTAATTCCAGTTATGTTTTATAGCAGAATATATGATCTTCAGTTTGACTTTGACTTTGAGGTAAATATTGGGTTAGGGACTTGGGGCTAGGAAATTCTCATCTAGTTTTAATAGTTAAAAATATAAAAGTGTTTTCTACTGCTGCATGACAGTGAAAGAAATACCATGATATTTAAGCTGTTGTATTTAAAGTTTACATCTTGTTCTCCTCAAACATATTTCATTTTTTTTTTACATGATCCTCAAGAAAAGTATTGTAATATAACGTTGTCCAAAAAAACAGCAACAAAAATACAGCAATATTTCCAAGTTAAAAGAATCCTTGTATAAGTAATATTTTCAAGATTTGTATACTCTTTTAAAGGTTATATATGTATTTTTTCCTAGGGTTTTTTCAAGTTCACATTAGTACAAGATGAATTATATTTATAATTTTCAATGTATAGCTTTTCACTTTTTAATCTAAATGTTTGAAAGCCTCTGAGAAGAGTAGTAATAACAGAACCTACAGAATAAATGAAAAAAAGTACATATTGGTGAAACCTGGAATGCAGCAAGATAAACAAAAAATTGGTAGGGGCCGGCCCCATGGTGTAGCGGTTAGGTGTGTGTGCTCTGCTGCTGGCGGCCTGGGTTTGGATCCCGGGCGCACACCGACGCACTGCTTGTCGGGCCATGCTGTGGCGGCGTCCCAGGTAGAGTGGAGGAAGATGGGCACAGATGTTGGCCCAGGGCCAATCTTCCTCCGCAAGAAGAGGAAGATTGACATGTATGTTAGCTCAGGGCTGATCTTCCTCACAAAAAAAAAACAAGAAAAAATTGGTAAATAAAAATTGACTTGTGTGTCTGGTAACTTTTGTACCTGATTGGACATCTGAATTATTATTCTGGCTTTATGCGTCCAAAAGCCAATTTCTGTTTGTTCTTATTCCTTTTGAAAGACATTCCTTGAAGACACACCTCATAGTGAATAATTTATGAAAATGAAATTAAGAATTCCCGAGACTCTTCAGGACAAGTGTACAGTTGATTTTTTGCAGTTAAATAAAGTTCTTAGGCCAGTTTTGTATACAAAATAAGCCATTAAGATTTTTAAAAGTTATTATTTGGATAAATTTAACCAAATACAACATGTAAACGTGTTGAAATGGATAGATCTTTAATTATAGCTTATTAGCATTTGAAGCTACTGTTTAGCCTTACATACTATTTAGTTTCCTTTTTGAGTAAGTGTTCATTTATAAGCAGCTCTTGGTTCCTAACCATTACTCTTGCTAGAATCTTGGTAGAGATTCTCTAAGATATTTCAAGATGACTTTTAGAAATAAAAATTGTATCTATTTAATTTTTAAAATATAAGCTTTTTTTTTTTTTATAATTTTATTTATTTATTTATTTTTCCCCCAAAGCCCTAGTAAGATAGTTGTATGTCATAGCTGCACATCCTTCTAGTTGCTCTATGTGGGACGTGGCCTCAGCATGGCCGGAGAAGCGGTGCGTCGGCGCGTGCCCGGGATCTGAACCCGGGCCACCAGCAGCGGAGCGCACGCACTTAACTGCTAAGCCACAGGGTCGGCCCTTAAATATAAGCTTATTTTTAAGAACTTTATACAGGACCGGCCCCATGGCCTAGTGGTCAAGTTTGGCGTGCTCTACTTTGGCAGCCCAGTTTGTGGGTTTGGATTCTGGGCATAGGTGTACACCACTTGTCAGCCATGCTGTGGCGGTGACCCATGTACAAAATAGAGGAAGAGGGGCCGGCCTCATTGCATAGCGGTTAAGTGCATGCGGTCTGCTGCTGGTGGCCCGGGTTCGGATCCCGGGCGTGCACCAACACACCGCTTGTCAGGCCGTGCTGAGGCAGCATCCCACATAAAGTGGAGGGAGATTGGCACAGATGTTAGCTCAGGGCCAGTTTTCCTCAGCAAAAAGAGGAAGATTGGCATGGATGTTAGCTCAGGGCTGATCTTCCTCACTAAATAAACAAACAAACAAACAAACAAACAAAATAGAGGAAGACTGGCACAGATGTTAGCTCAGAGCAAATCTTCCTCAAGCAAAAAAAAAAAAAAAGAGGAAGATTGGCAGCAGATGTTAGCTCAGGGTGAATGTTCCTCAGCAAAAGAAAAAAAGAAAAAAGAAAGAGAACTTAATACAGAATAGTACACAAATAATGAGTGTACAGCTTGATGAATGTTCATAGTGAACATACCTATGTAAGCAACATCCAGATCAAGAAAACATTGCTAAGACTCATGTCCCTTCGCAATCATTACCTCTCCCCACGCCTGTTCTCTCCAGGGGTAACCGCTATCTTGTCCTTTGACACTTCAGAATAATTTTGCTGGCTTTTGAACTTTATTTAAATGGAATTATTGTATGTACTCTTGTGT